TTTGGGGGAGCTCTGGCCCTGACTTGGAGCATCGCTTCCTGGCTCCGGAGGGGAAGATGTGTGCTGTTCAATCTCCTGGGGAAGCTTCTCATGCTGGCTTCCTGGTATCAACTCGGCTGTTCTCACTGTTAGAGGAGCTTGGGACCTCGCTGTTGCTGAGGATGGCTCTGGTAATTTTCAGGGGAGCTCTGGTCCTCGCCTTGAGTGTCACTGCCAGGCTCCAGTGCAGATCCCTTAGCCTGCTGGCACAGATCCTTCATCCCATGGCCCAGGCTTCCCAGTGTCCACTGCTGACCTTTGGGCCTTCCCAGAACAGATCCATGGAACAGACTTGCATGAGTCATTGTCGTGGGTTCTAGGTCTTCAGCTGTACCCACATAGGACGTGGCCATGGGATCCAGGCCCTCAGTTGGAGTTTTTGGGGTCTTCAGCGTGTGGGCAGATTTCCTGTACTTTTTGTCTTTGACTCTTGGGGTGACCATTATAAAATAATTTTATAAATTATGTGTCCTGTATTAAATTGTTTCTCTTGCAAACCCTGACTAAAAGTATTTATGAGGAAGATACTGGGCAGCCACTGAACCACCCAGAAAATGCGAAATATAAAAATAGGCAGAGGTGAGCCACCCCCAAAACACCTGCACAACTGGGCTGGCAGGCACCATCCTGGAAGCCCAGCATGGAAGCCACAGTGGTGCCAAATCCGCACACTGCCAGCAAGCCTGGTACCGGTGACTTTGCCATTCCTGGCCCTGATGCTACTGCCACTATTTCTGCACTTTGGGTCAGCAGCCTCCAAGGTGAAATCCAGGTCCATTAATCCGTTTGTTTAATCCTGGGTCAGGGACTTGCTGTCTTTTGGAGGCTAGGAAAGCAGACATTTTTTTAATGCCTATAATTGGTCATCCCATGTGCTAGCTAGGACCTATAAAGTGAGACAGCTCCTCACAGCAGGGATTGCTCAGTACGAGAAGGAGCCAAACTGAAATCCAGGTGTTCATTACACAGAGCAGAGCTCGTCCCAAAAGGAGGAGGAAAGGCTGATCAAACAAAACATCTCAATGTCCATGGCACAGGGCACAGTGTGTGGGACAACCACGTGGGTTAATAGAGATCTGAATGTGCCTGGGAACTGCAGGGACCTGCGTAGGACTTGGTGGTCAATGGCGAGGATTAGGCAAGCCCTCGTCCAGAGAATGACACACAACCCAGCCGCCAAGAGCAGGGCCCTTTTACGGTGGCCTCGCTCTGTCCAAACATACAAGGTGATCTTCCTCCTGAGTACGTGTCTCTCGCTAAGGACAACTTTCCGGGAGCCATCCTGACCCCTGCCCGGTGATCCCGGAGTGTACAGCTGTTCCAGGCTGGGTCACCAGTGTCCTTCTTGGGGAATATGGGATTGGAACTAAGGCAGAGCTGCTGTAGCCCAGGCTCTTGCAGAAAACAATTGTGAAAATGTAGGCGTAGGGGAGAAGAATAAAATAGACACGGAACGGAGCCAGGTGTGTCAGCACACACCTGTAATTCCAGCATTCTGGAGGCTGAGTCAGGAGGATTGTAAATTGCCAGCCTGGGCAACTTAGTGACTTAGAACCTGTCAGAAAAATTTAAAATATATAGTTTAATTAAAAATTTTATTATAGGGCGGAGGATTTAGCTCAGTGGCATAGACACCTGCCTTGCAAGCAGGTGGTCATGAGTTTGATCCCCGGTACCGATAAAAAAAAATTTTATTATAACGTTCATAGTGTACAATGAATACATTCACTGTGGGGAGCTGGTACATATACATACAGCCTCTCAGTTCTTTTTTGTTTGTTTGTTTCTCTTTCCATTCTCTCCTTTCCCTCCATCCCTAGAACCTTTTCTCATTTGCAAAGGGTCCACCTCCCTGTTTCCTACTGTCAATCTTTTACCAAACTAAAAAAAAAATTTTTTTTTTAAAGAATTGGGATGTAACTTAACGTGAGCCAGGTGTGGTGGTGCACATCTGTAATCAGAGCACTCAGCAGGCTGAGGCAGGAAGACTGCCACGAGTTCAGGCCCAGTCTGAACCACACAGTGAGACCCTGTCTCAAATCAAAACGAAAACAAAAACAAAACTTTAATGTAAAGGCTCTGGGTTCAATCCCTAGTGCTAGGGGAAAAAATCAAAAGAAAAAAAGGAAAAGAAATCCAGCTACAGTGGTGAATGCCAATAGCCTCTGCACTTCAAGAGGCTGAGGCAGGAGGGTCCCAAGTTTGAGGCCAGTCTGGGCAGCTTAGAGAGACACTGTCTCAAAATTAAAAGCAAACAAAACAGGGCTGGGGGATGTAGCTCAGGACAGAGCACTTGCCAAACACACAGGAAGGCCTGAGTCCAGTGCTCAGAAGCTGTGATAGCAGGTGCCTGCAGTCCTAGACACTCAGGCATCTGGAGCAGGCGGATCACTTGAGCCCTGGAGCTGGGGGACAGCTTGGGGAACACAGGGAGCTAGTGGGGAGAGAGGGGGAAGTGGGGAGGGGAGGGGGGGACCCGGCAGAGGGAGAGAGGGAGGGATAGAGAGATTCTTTGATTAGGCGGGCTGTATCCCCGTCATGTCCTGTATAAGATTTGCCAAAGATTTCACCTCAAATCGCAGGTTTAGCTGGGCAGCACGATCCCCAGCCCTCATTTTGACTCACTTCCCTTCCACTTTGAATTTATACAGTTATAGTAGGAAACACGGCACAGCTTGCTCCTGGCTCCCAGTCCCCGGAATCTGGGCGTCCCCAGGCCGGCCGAGGTCAGCTCTCTTTCCGCATCAGATGAGCACGTCCCTGGCCTGTGGCCCTGAGTCCCTCTGGGTCTGTGGTCCTTGGCCGCCCCTTGTTACATCCAGGTTCTGAGGCTGCTCTGGGAAGCCGCCGGAGGTCCCTCTGCCTAGGGCCACCACTGCCATTCCCCCTGGGCGCCTCCTGCCTCGCGGGCTGTGCCATCGAGGCTGTCACCCTTTATCTCTCCTCTGCTCTGGGGAGTTCCTTCATTCCTGGGTGGGGCATCTCGCCCCTGAGCCCTGTCTCCCTGGTCTGTCTCCCTCTCCCCCCACCCCTTGCCCTGGCTCTGTCCTCTGCAGCCCCGAATCGCTGCCCTCTGGCATGTGCCACCCTGCCCTGGAGCCAGTCCCAGTAAACTGTGAGCTGAAGAAACCTTTCCTCCTTTAACTTTGGGGGTCAGATATTTTGTCCCAGCATTGAGACAAGTAACTAAGATAGCCAAGCTCAAAGCTGTCCCAAACTAGAAGCGGGAAGCTAGGGAATGTATCTGCCACCTCCCACCTGCCGTTAGTTGAGGGCTTCCACCCTTCCCCAGCAATCTCCTCCTCCTTCTACTTCCCAGTTTACCTCTTTCTAGAACTTTGTTTGGACCACGCCGAGGCTGCTGCGTTTACTTTTACAGCGAGGATCAAGGCTTCCGTGCTTTGTCCATCTGCTGCGGAGCTGAAATCCAGTAGGCGTTGTTTACCTTATATATTGTGACTGTATAAATGCTTTATACTGATGACTCGCAATCACTGAGATTACATTTCCTTTCCTGAATTATGTTAGATTGCATCTGGAAAAACAAGCCTTGAAGTATTGGGGGATTATATGACATCTATGTTACGTGTAAATGATTATAATATCCAAACTACACTGGACGATACTAGATATGATAATACATCTGATATTGGGGCTATTGTGATATTCACACCCAGGAATGAGACTGTAATCAGTGACATGCCTGCCCCTCTCCTTTGGCTCCTGGAGAAGTGGCCACCATGTGGTAGTCTGTGTTTATCACTTCATTGCTTTTTGTAAAGCATCACGCAATCATAAATGAATACGTGCTTCACCTTGTTTTTTTCTTTTCTTTACGAGCTCCATAAAAAGTGATATCATCTTCAGAGTATAATATTCTGGGAGTCACAGCCTCAGGAAATGTCGTATTTCCGGGATTCTTCCGCGTTGCCCCAAGAACTGCTTGCTATGATTAGAAACAGAAGCTCCAGGAAAGGCCAGGAAGGAAATGCAATCCTGGGGATCCTGGCTCTGTGTGAATGGTTTTGCTATGGGACCCGCACTCCCTCTTCTGAAACATCCCTTCACTGACACCGTCAGGGGTGGCCTCTTGGCCCGGAACCCTGACCATGGATGACCCAAGTGTCCAGGGTTAATACTTGTTTCTGGCAAGGCTAGAGAATATCTGTACCGAGAAACCTCCACCATGGCCATAGGTGTAAGATGTACAGCTCTGGTGTGAGGGCCGCGTGCCACCGTGTGCACAGGAGCGGGGAAGTGGGCTGCTCCTGTCAGAGGAGTCTTCCCACCCCTGACTCTCTGATTCCAAGAGTTCCTGAGGCCCAGCAGTGCTTGACCTGGCATGGGTGACTCTATTTTCTTATCACTTAAAGGGGAGATTAGGAGAATCATCTCAGCCTGTGTGACACTTCAACCTATGTGCTTCTGATGAAGAAGAAGAAGAAGAAGAAGAAGAAGAAGAAGAAGAAGAAGAAGAAGAAGAAAGGTGAAGAGAAGAGGAGGAAACTGGGCGTGGTGGTGCACTCCTGTAATCCTAGCTCTTGGAAAGCTGAGGCAAAAGGATCACTGTGAGTTCAAAGCCAGCCTGGACTCCATAGTGAGTTCAAGGCCAACCCGGACGACATAGCAAGATGCTGTCTCAAAAAATCAAGATGGTGAAGGAAGAGGGAATGAGCTGGTGACTGTTGACTAGAGGTCAGTAGAGATGACAGAGAGATGAGTTGAAGAAGGCAGTGGAAAGGTTGATGACATCTTTGGAAGACATGTCCAAAAGACAATGAGGAGGAGCATCTTGGGGACACACTTTCTCCCCCCTTTCCCGCTCCACCAGTGAGCATTTGGGACTGGGGGTTAGAGCAGGGGAAACAGGGAGAGAAAAAAGGATCCTCAGAGAGCATCGACTTAGGGAGGCAGAAGCCCGGGCACAGCGCTGGGCCCACAGTTCTGGGCTGGGGCCGGAGGAGTAAAGTTTGGAGGCATTGACCCCAAAGCCCCTCCTCCACCCGAGTCCCCCAGGAGCATTCCATGGCGGTTGGGCCCTGTCCTGCTGAATGGATCGGGGCCAGTTTTTGCTTAGCTCCAGAGCTCAGCAGCCTGCTAAGACACCCCGTTCTTTCCCAGACCTCAGGCCCATGATGGAAACTCCTCCATCTGACAAAAGTATTCAGAACAAGAATGACACGTGAGCTCTGCCAGGGAAGGAAGGAAAAAGCCTTTGCTGCTGAAGGCGGGTGGTACTGGGGATCAGGAGAAGGGGATCAACCCCTCGGGCCTGGGAAGGAAGGGAAGGGCTGGGAGGGAGGTGGGGTGGTGAGGCCGGGCCAGAAGGAGATGGGCAGCCCTCTGTCTCCTCTCCCCTCTCTTCTCCGCAGCCGCAGGCGCCCCGTGAATCTGCGCCGGAGTTCTGTGTTGCCCTTGCAGTGGAGACTCACACACAGCCCCCGCTGGACAAGGCAGATACTGGTCTCGGAGCTCAGCCTCGTGGCCTTCGTCCTGCTGCTGGTCATGGTCTTCTCTGAGAAATGGCTGCACGCCCCCGGGTGCCGTTTCCATCAGTACCACCCAGCGAATGTCAGCCACGGGATCCACACCTCTATCCACATCATGTCCTTGGGGCTCCTGCACATCTGCATATCTGAGAGCTGTACCGAGTCAGACTATGGGAAAGGTGAGCACTTCGCCAACCCTGGGCCTCCAGCCCACCTGGACCTCTGTGGCTGCCCCTGGTTAGTCTTGTCCCTACCTCTGGTCCTTGTTTGACCTGCAGAATGGCTCCCTTGGCACTGAGACCTCCAAGGATCATCGTCCTCCACTCTGGGCAAAATATCTTAAGGCTCTTAATAAAACTTTCCATATTGCTTGCAAAAACTATTATGGGGGCTGGGGATTTAGCTCAGCAGCTCAAGTGCTTGCCTGATAGACATGAGGTTGTGAGTTCAATCCCCAGTATCAAAACAAAAACAAAAACACCCTATTATAGGTTTTGTAGACTTTATTCAAAATGCTGACACCAAAAATGTTTCTGATTTTTGGAATTTTTTGGATTTTGGAATATTTGCATATACGTGCAGCACCAAGGCGAAACACCCAGAAAGGGCACCCAGGATTTGGAAGCAGATTTATTTACTCAACAGGCACTGATCAGCATCATTGCCAGAATATCACGCCCTGATCTCTGGTGCTCTAGGGCTGACATGGGAGGTACGGAGGCAGAACGCCTTGTTAATTGGGGATTGGCTCACACAGCATGCATCATCATGACAGCCGTTTCTAAGAGGCAAAAGCAACCAGAACTAGAACAGGAACCATTACCTGAGCAGCTAAGAATCTAAAGTATATTGGCTGAGGGTTGGGGCATTTTTTGTGTTTTCTTTTGTTGCTGAGACAATATAGCTGATGCCCAAAATGCAGGAAGGAAAGGTTTATTTAGCTTGTGATTTTTGGAGGTTTCAGTCCATACTCAGCTGGTTCCAAGGTAGCATGGTGTGCCTGAGGGGCAGCATGTGGCTGTGGCAGATACCAAAAGTGAGATGAGCTAAAAAGCAAAGGGCAAAGCGTACCTCCTTTCCTCCCCTATGTTGTGTGCTGGATACCGGCCCTGGGCAGAGGTGGCACTCACACCACCAACCCCAGCGCTAGAAAGCAAACCAATCACAAATGCTAGGCTCAGCTGCCTCCAGGACTGCATGAGGCTTTGGGGGGACACCCAGACACAAACCATGACATTCTGCTACATACATAATGGGGTAATTTGTGGTTGGGGCCCAAGTCTAAATGTAAAATCCATTTATATTTCATATACATTTGTATAATGTAGTCTGATGGTAATTTTATTTTATTTTTTTCTTAATGGTAATTTTATATAACATTTTGGTTACATTTTGACTGTGACCTGTCCCATGCAATCAAGACTCACAGTCTTGTGTTTGGTAGGCAGGTGCTTATTCTGCTGTGCTATATCCAGCTTATTGTTAACTTTTAATGAACATACAAAGACCCAGTGCATGGAAATGCTACAAATATCTTGTAAATCTATGTTCATTGGACATTTTAGTGTCTTGACAAAGAAGATCTCTTTACCTAGACTTTGGTACAAATTGCTGATTATTTCCTTAACATAAATTCCCAGAAGACACATGGATGGATCAAAGGGCCTTAATAGCTTAGGTTTTTGTGTTTGTTTTGTTTTGCTTTGCTTGAGATAGGGTCTTGCCATGTAGCTCAGGATGGCTTTGAGTTCTTGGTGTTTTTCCTGCCTCAGCCTCCCTAATGCTGGGATTATAAGCGTGCATAGGGTTTTTTTTTTTTTTTTTTTGATATTTTGTTCTGGATCACTCACCAGAAATGTTGCCCACCAGCAGTATATGAAAGTGCCTCTTTTCTCCAAATTATTTGGAGAAAATACTGTCACTTTTAGTTTGATTTTGATTTTCAACTAATTCAGTAGTTTTTAAATGTACCTGTTTAAAAAAGGGTAAAATGTATCTGCAATTTACAATCCTTTGTATTGAACTTCATATATTTATAGATTTTGGGGTGGGTATACTTGGGCCTCTCCACTGAGCTATAGCCCCAGCCCTTCTAAAGTTTTGGGATAGGGTATCACTAACTCACTATGTTGCTTAGGCTGGCACAAACCTGTGATCCTCCAGCCTCAGTTTCCCAGAGAATACCAACATGCAGAGGTCTCATTTTTTTGAGTCAGGATTTGTGTGTGTAGCTGGGCTGGGACTGGCCTCAACTTGTGAGTCATCTGCCTCAGCTTTCTGCCCCATCACGCCTGGTGAAAGTGATATCCAACTGTTTATCGATTATTTATTTATTCATTTATTTATTGGGTGGTACCAGGGATCCAACTCCAGGCCTTGCGCTTTGAGCATGCGAGGCAAGTGCTCTACCACTGAGCTACATATATCTCTAGCCCTAAATTTTAGGTTTAACTTTCAAACAAAGTCTTGAGTTACCATCCGAATGCCAGTTGCTTGTGTGGCTGCACAGAGTTGTGGTGCCAGAAAAGTCTATGTAAGCACATGTAAGCATTGGTCTGAGCCAAGATGTGCGTGTTTGTGGGTGTGATTTTGGTCAGTGCTTTATATAATTGTTGCTATCATTGCTATTAAAATGGCCCCCAAAAAAGCTAGAAAAAAAAACTAAGGAAGAAAAGTAAAGAAAACAATCGTAATAGAGCAGTGTTAAAGAAAAGACAGAAACAGACAACCTTAGACTGGTTTTTAGTTCTGAAAAAGTTGAGACCTAGTGACCGAGAAGCAGGTCCAAGTTACAGACTCTCCCAAGGAGGGAGAACACCAGAGAGCCAGATTCCTGATGTTCTTGTGGAAGGGGACTCTGCTTCCAGCAGCAGCCACCCTCCATCCCAAGCTGCCTTCCTGCAAGCCAAGGCCGTCAGCCTGAATGGTGATTGCAGAGTGAAAGTGTTGCTTCTGGTAAACTGGGCACATTTTAAAACTTTTGGTTTTACACTAGGAAAATTATTGGTGTTTCTGGTAAGTTATGCACATTTTACAATCCTATTTTTATTATAAAATGGTTAGGTAAGAGGTGCTTTGGGAGGTTTGGAATGCATTATGGGTTTTTTCATTATTTCTTATGGGGAAAATAGTCTTATTTACAACCAACTGGAGTTACAACCAGCCCTTGTAAACAAACTGAGTTCATAAGTCAAGGGTCCAGTGTTTGTATTTCTTCTTTTGATAACTGTAGTTCAAGACCTCTGTCCAGGTTTTCTGTTTTTGTTTTGCTTTTGAGGCAGGGTCTCACGATGTAGTTTAGGCTGCTCTTGAACTTGCTTCTGTAGCCGAGGCTCGCCTCAGACTTCTGAGTGCTGAGATTACAGGCATGCACCACCATGCCTGGCCGTCCTTTCTGCTGAGGCGTTCGTTTTAGTATTACTGAAATTATCAAGCAACGTGCGTATCATGATCTTGACCTACTTAGTAAATGAAAGCGTTGTTTTATGATCTCAAATGTGCATTTCTTTGCTTAAAAGTGAGCCTGGATGTTTTCTCACATTTGCTCATTCGATTACATCCGGCCCTTTGTGGGTCTTGAACTCATGCTGTCTTGTCATTCTCTCCAGATAGTTCTAAGATGTGGACAAATCAGCCCATGTTTCAGGTGGCCAAGGTTGGCTTTTGCCTGGTCCTGGAGCTGGGGCTCGTCCTCACCATTTGGTTGCACCTGTGTTATCTGCCCCGCCTGAAGAAACTGCGTTTGTATCGCTTGATTGGGGTCATCTTGAGCTGTGAAGGTACCCCCGCCCTGGCTCTGAAAAGTCCTTAGTTTTCTTATTCATGTGTTCCCCCTTTTCTCTAGGGGTGGGAGAAGGGTTTTGAGGTTTGAGGAGGAGAGAATGGAGAGTTGAATTGCATCATTTCCTGGCCCCTGGAGAGGCAGAGGTTGGGAGGCTGATTGCCATGGAACTCAGGGCCGTGTGCCGTCCTGGGTCGCAGGTCACGGTGCGGTTGGGGTTGGTGGTTTTAGCTAGGTCCCCTGCGGGATTCCTGGATGAGCAAAAGACTTCCCTACTTCCTTCCCCAGCCACTTTCATTTTCACTGCTCTCCTGTTGTTTGCTATTAACCTCTGGACCTTTGAGCTGAAGAAGAACATATCCGTTCCTATCGGCTGGAGCTATTTCATCGGTTGGCTGGTCTTTCTCCTGTATGTCACTTGCGGTGAGTAGCCCGGAGAGCCTGGGGGAAGGCGGGAACATCCTGCTTGTCGTGCTCCATCACGCTCTCCAGTCTTCCCCGTTATCTCTCCCAGGGGCCCTTTGCTACTCCAACTACGTGAGCCACCCACTGCCCAGGGGCTTTGGCAGTACGTCCAGGGCATCATCGCCAGCTCACTGAGAGAACCTCCGAGTCGCCTTCTACCTCAGGCCGTTATCCACCTGGACCTAAGCAGAAGGGTCTCTCCACCCAGCGCTGTCCATTCTTGTAGATCTCTCTCCTCATCCTCACCCACAACCTTTGAACAGGCTGCAGCTCACCAGTGAGAACCCAGAAAAGGAGGATTCGGGGCCGTCTTTGCCTGCCTCTTCCTTGTTTGTACCTTCACCTTGGGCAATGTGGAATAAACTGTCCATCTCTTCTTTGTCATTCTGGTAGTTGTTGGGCCACACTGGAGGAAGAGGGGGGCGGGAAACAAGTTTATTTCTAGCTAAGAACATTTTGGTACCCTTTGGTCCCTAAGCCTGCCCAGTTTTTACTAACTAACCACACACAGCCAAACACTTCTTGAGAGCTAAATTTCTACACTTGGTTACCTCTACCCCAACATTTTTTATATTGGTACCAGGGATCGAACTCAGGACTGCGTTCTTGCAAGGCAGGCACTTATGCTGCTGAGCTAAATACCCAGCCCCTATACCCCAACATTTTAGAGGGCAGGAGGAAGTATAGGAGAAAGATGTCACTTTGGAACTTGTTGGCTTTCACCATGCAGAAATCAAAAGCAAAATGGCCCTAGGTGAGAGGTAAGTTAAACAATGGTAACACAGTAGGAGGTACTTGGCTGTATTTCACAGGTATTCAGCCCAGGTATGCCCTTTGTGCCCAGCTCAGATGACTGAGAGCTCACAGAGCTCTGTGCCCTGGACACCCATGCCAGTACCACTGCCACCAACACCTACAGTCTGCTTCCCTGTGGCCACTGTAGTCCTCCACTCAAGGCTCCCACATTCGCCACCTTACAAGAGCAGGAACAAAACGTGACAAGAAAGAGCAGTGTCAGGGTAAAGTCTTACGACCCACAGACAGGCCGTGCATTTAGGTTATAAATGCACAGTTTCATTAAGGTACACAGTACCCAGTTTGGGCAGTGTAGTACCAATCAGGATTTGGACATTTTGCTGGGTGTGGTGGTGCACACCTAGAATCCCAGCACTCAGGAGGGTGAAGAAAGAGGATGGCTGTGAGTGTGACGCAACCTGGGCTGCAAAGTGAGTTCAAGGTCAGCCTGAACCCCATAGTGAAACCCTGTTTCAAAAAAAAAAAAAAAAAAAAAAGTAGAATGGATTTGGACATCTTGCCTAAAGAGGCTGGCATACCAGAAGGGCACTCATGATTGATATTTGTTATATATATTCCTCTAGATGGGGACACAGTATCAGCAAACTATGATTCAGTACAGACATATACCTTTCTTGTTGCTCCCTCTTCCCATATTCTTTGTTCCTTATATATGCAAGCGTATATAGAAGCCCCAGCTTCCTTTCCTGTCAGCCACAGTCTGATTGAATTGTGCCGGCTAGGTGTTCCCGCCCACCGCAGCACACCAGGAAGTTGCAGATCAGGCAGCCTATGTGGGGCCCGCCCCTCCAGGTCACCCTCAGGCTCTGGGATCTGGGTTGTGCTAGCCTACTGGGCCTCAGCCAGCAGCGTCATGTAGGCTAGGCACTTCTCACCAATCCTGCTTGAGAGGGGGATACGTGGCTGAAGTCGCCACAGCGCCCTGCTCCTGCAAGTCTGCCCGGTCCCAGAATGTCCTCTGTTGGAGTCTCCCAAACCGTGGGAAGAGTGTCCGTTTTTCTCACTCACCTCACCGCAAGTCAATGCACAGCTCCCCGCCCATCCCGCTCTCAACTCCATTCGCCGATTCCCGTTCTCAGAACTTCCGCGCGTCTCTCTCCCTGCCGAGCTGATGTAGACGCAGCTGCCACGCGGCAGGAAACCCAAATTGTGGCTTCCAATGCTGCGGCCTCCAGCTTCCACACTGAGGCTTTTCTGTTCCTGTTATAGCACCAGGATTGCACTCCAAGTTGGTTTCTCTCAGCCCAGTTCGTTCTTGGGTCAGCAGGGCATATCTCCACCTGCTCACGACTCCTTACTCCGCACCATTCCTGAATTCCAAGCTGGTTCTTTCAGAGAGCCTCCATAGCTGCTGCTATTTGTCCGCCATGTTCTCCCGGAAGTCCAAAAAAATATTTTTGCAAGATAGGATCTTGCTAAGGCCCCAGGTTTCCCAGGCTGCTCTAGAAATTGTGGGCTTTGTGTCTACCATGAAGTGAGCAGCTTTCTGGAGTTCTTTCCCCATTTCCTTTCTGGCTTGGAGCCATAAAACTATGAACTGAAGCCAACTATGGACTGAAGTCTTTATCTTGGAAAATCAAAATAAATTTTGCCTCCTTTAAATTGCAAGTGTTGGGTATAGCATCTCAGCAACAAGAAAGTAATAAGACAGATTTTGGTACCAAGTTATTTCCATGATGCTACCTGGCTGTGTGGTTCAGAAGCCTTTGGAACTGGTTCAAAGGAGGAGTTTGAAAAACTTTGGAGATGCTGGCTAGGGAAACTCTAGAATGCTGTAAGCTAAACTTTAGGGGAGATTCTGTTGGTGTTAGAAGATCAGAACGTTGGTAAGAAGGCCAAGAAAGGCCAGGCTCAGGAGGTTTCAGTTAGAAACAAGAAATCCACTGGAAGTTGGATTCCTTGTTCCAAGCCATGTGTCATATAGTCTGGCAGGAAATTTGTCTATATTTTGCTCATGTCCTAAGACTTTTGGGAGACTGAGGTTAAGGATGGGACACTAATTGGCAGAGAAAATTTCAAGGCAGTCCGATGTTCAGGCTGTGGCATGGGTACCACTTGCTGCTTTTAGCTAGAGAAACAGGAGTGAAAGCCCTTTTAAAAAGTTTTCAGTGTTACCAGAAGGAAAGTACCTGCAGAGATGGAGACAAAGAGAGCTTTGTTGCTGAAAAGCTTAGCATTTTGAAAAAGTAAGGGGCCTGGCACATAGGTCAATAGCACAAGTGCCTGCCTGGCAAGCACAAGGTCCTGAGTTCAATTCCTGATACCCCCCCCAAAAAAAGAAATAAAAATAAGTTAAGTACTTTGGATCAGGATAATAGGAAAAATGGCTTGAGGGCATTGTGGAATTTGAAAGACTCCACCCACCACAGGCTCAAGGGTGCAAAGTTTTAAAGCTTTCATTTGAGAAGAAAGCCTTGCGGTGCTATGCTCCAGAAGTGCTCCCTGGGATTCAATTCACAGTACTTATCCATCAAAGCACGCTAAGGCCTCTCCAGCCCTGGTGCAGAAAGACCTGGCTACTACAGAGCTGGTGGCAGACCTTGGCATCATCTATATTGTGCTAACTTGACGGGCATGCGGCATGCAAGAGCTGTGGCTTGACAGAGCCTGCCTGTTAGATTTCATAAGGCCTGGAAGGCCAAGCACTGTGTCCCCGAGAGGGCAGCGTGTGAAGCTAGGACTGCAGTGGAGACTGCAGGAAATTAGAGCTCATAGTGATCCTCTGCCTCAGCCTCTGGGGTCCTGGGATGACAGCTGTATCACCATGCCTGGCTTCCTCTTTCTTTTTAACCCCTGAGAGAGTTAGTTGAAGTCTGTATGATCTGGCTCTAGCAAAAATTAGCTCTCCAGTGCAGAGACAGAGAATACAAAGATGACTAAAAATCAAGTACCTAAAGGGAATAGGTAGACAATACTTGCAAAACATCCATGTGATAAACTGGGCATAGTGGCTCATGTCTGTAATCCCAGTGCTCAGGAAGCTGAGGCAGGATGATTGTTTGTGAGTTCGAGACCAGCCTGGACTACAAAGTGAGCTCAAGGCCAGCCAGAACTGCATAGTGAGACCCTGTCTCAAAAAAGACCAAAAAAATCCATCTGATAGAGGACTGCTATCCAAAATGCAAAAAACAAACAAACAACCCAAAATGAAAAAACACCTCTTAAAGCATAGCAATAATAAAATGAACAACCCCATTCTAAAATGCTCAGAGGTGAGTGAGCGATGTAACTCAGTGGTAGAATACTTGCCTAGTATATGTGAGGTCCTTGGTTTTATCCTCAGTACTAAGGAATAAACAAAAAACCTCAGAAGACCTGAGTCAATACCTCATCAAGGGTGGTATAGAGGTGGGAAATAGTCTTATGAAAAGATGTTCAAATGTCCTGAGAGAGGGGCTGGGGATTTAGCTCAGCGGCATAAGCACCTGCCTTGCAAGTAGGCAGTCGTGAGTTCGATCCCTGGTACCAATAAAAATGAAAAAGACAAAAAAAAAAAGTCCTGAGATAAATGCAAGTTAGAGCATTGAGATACCACTACACCTGTTAGAATAGTTAAAATCCAAAACACTGGTAACCCTGAAGGCCAGTAAGGACATGGAATAGCAGGAAGGGTCACTCACTGCTGGGGGCAATGCAAAATGGCCCCACCTCTGCAGAACAGAGTGCGACAAGCTCTTATAAAATTAAACACCCTCTTACCGCACGACTCAACTCCTGCTCTTAAAGACTTACCCAAATGAACTGAGTCATTTTGGATCTGTGACATGGATCGGACTTATTTACGCACGAGTCCTGTGCTTCCGCAGGCCAGAGAGCAGCCTGCAAGCTGCCGTGTGTCCCCATTGTGGGAGACAACTCCAGTGTCTCCCTTTGAATCCAAAACAGTTACTGTGACTTTGAGTATTTGGAGACTCATTTCCTTATACTGATATGTAAAAGGCTGGCTAGGGTATTTCCTTCTCTCTTCAATTGGCTATGAGCATTGCAAATAAGGCTAGCCGAGGTGCTAATGTGCAAAGTCTATAGCCATCAGACAGTCCTATTTCCTCGAATGGTGCTCTCCACAACAGGATTGAGCTGGTGAGATGTTAGAGCAAACAGCTCCAGGAATGTCAACTGGGGGTAGAGCCTCAAGATAAGAGGCTATGACTCCCCAGGGCACAAGAGTTTGCATATCACAGCCCCCCAAAATAATTCCACTGTTACCTTAATTGGGTCATGTAAATTGATTCTTCTGCATATCTTTGTCTCTGTAAATTACAGAGATGCCTTTCTTGCACCTGGCCAGCCAGCTCAAGTTACTCAACAATCCCCAACATCCTCACTATCACTCATCCCTGAGCGACCCCCCCCCCCCACACACACAAAATAAATGCTAGGAGAGGCCTAGAATCGGGCCTTTGTCCGCATGTCCTCACGGGAAATGGACTTAGGACCTCTTGACTGCCCTTAAGTTGGAATATGTCTTGGTGTCTACTCTCACCGTGGCTGCGTTGGTGGTGGTAGATTGGAATTGACCAGCTGCAATTCCAATAACGTCTGAATGAGATTACAAATATAACTTTTTG